GATTCTAGATTAGTGATATTCCTAAATACTTGAGGATTAGGGTTATTTGTGTACGGGTAGTAGGTGTTAGGGATGGACCTGTGTTGTACCTTAGTTTTTTCTGTGATGACAGATTCAATGTCCATATCTTCGTATTTAATATTTTCCGGTGTGTTCTCAGTGCTCATCAAACTGTGCAGACTTGTCGATTCTTCTTGTAAAGAATTCTTTACTATTGATGGCGGCGAGAACAGAACGGAACTATCTCCCGCTAACGTTTTACTCTGGAACAAATTGTTACAACACATTGATTAAATATATGTTTAATTTAATATTACTGTTGCCTGCGACTCTGTCTGTGCCATTTAAAAAAAAACTTTGTATGTATTCTATGTGTTCTTCCATATTATATTTATGACAAATTTCAGTGAGATTCATGCAGCGGTTCTGGAGATATTTTCTGACAAACATCCATACATCCAAACATTGGCATTTATAATATTAGTAAAATAGCTGTATACTTTTTGTATGTGATAGGCATTCGCTTGGTATATAATACAGACGAATTGATAACGTCCTTTTTTTGAAGTCAGCTAAAAAATTAAGCAGTTTCGGAAGACTATTGTAACTAACACACTTCTATAAACCGGTATCTTTAGCGCTGAAATGGTGCGAATATCAAATAGGCACAGAATAGTAGGACTTATAGCCGGTTTATTTATGGAGGTGAGTGTGTAAGGTGATACTGACCGGTGTCTCAACGATGTAGGAGAGGTCGGGCACGGTGGGGAGCGGCGCGGCGGAGTGCGGCGTGCTGGTGAGCGCGCCCCACGCTGCGGCGAGCGCCTTGCGGGCACGTCCGCGCGACGGCATGTTCTCCTTGCCGCGACTGCCGCCACCGCTACCGATACCCGAGTCGTTCACCTGCTGTGTTACAAATGCTTTTAATATTTCCTCTAAATTAAATAAACAGAACGACAACTATCCTTATTTTAAAGTTATTTTGTTATATTATGAGAAAGTGAACTAATGAGCTGATGAAAAACCTATGTCTTCTTCCAGACTATGCCAAATTTTACACAGATCCATGCAGTCATTCCGGAGATACCTAGTAACTTGCATCCATCCATCCATACATTCAAACATTCGCATTTATAATATCTAACATATTTATGCCAGTTCTGCTTAATTTCGATACGAAATTTTACTCGTAATTAAATATCGCTTAATGATTAAAGAATTCAAAGTCGATTGAGTAGTTTTATAGTATACTAGCGAACCCGACAGACGTTGTCCTGTGTACACTTTAATTCTTTAATTCTAATATTATTTAAAATTTGACACTGCGATGGTAGCACCGTCTGTCGGATCCAATGTAAAACATTCCAAAATCAACAACTACTAATAAATTAAAAATAAATTAAAAAACATTGTCCAGCGGACAAAATTGTGAATCTAAACCATTCTCAGATCCCCTTGAACACACACAAAAAATTTCATCAAAATCGGTCCAGTCGTTTGAGAGAAGTTCAGTGACATACACACTCATAGAAGAATTATATATATAAAGATTTATAGATTTAACCAGCAAAATAAACAAATTTAATTTTTTGTACTTTAAAAGAGTTCCTTAAAGTACACAACTTTTTACCTGTGAACTTCATTTTCTTATTAAAAAACAAATCTAGCATCCCTAAACTTTCATAATTTATTTGTAATATTAGTAAGATTACTGACCTGTGCTTCTTCAGTGGTTGCAGACAACATGGAGTCATTGAGATGCAGGGTGGTGTCGGAATTCTCCTCGCGCTGTATCATCTCGGTGATGTCCTCCACCAGCAGCCCGGGGCTGGACGGCTCGTACTTCAGACCTGACTTCTTGCCCAGCTCAGCCATCGCCAACTTGAAGGGAGTCGGGGTTCTGGAAAATATGAGAAAAAAAAAGATAAATATTTGAGTGCCTATGTATTTTAATATTGGAGAAAAATTATATTTCGTACACATGATGTGCTTGCGTTGCTAATAACGTAAAGCAAATTTTTAACATTTTCGTCTGTCTGTCTATCTGTATGTCTGTTCGCAAGGCCGCGTTTGTTCTAGCTAATCTCTGGAACGGCTGTACCGATCATGACGGGATTTTGGCAGGAAAGTAGCCGGTGCACGCGGGCATATTATAGGCATTTTTTTAATTCTACGCTGACGAAGTTACGGGCAATCGCTAGTATATATTATTGCAGTCTATAGGTTGCAGCCCCTTAAATTTTTCAACAATAATATGAGTTTAGTCGATACAATTACACATTTTATTATGACTATTACCGTTGATTTCTGAGACCGAATTCTCAAACATTATCTTTGACAAAATAGATGCAACAATATGTTTGAAACGGGGATTTAAGTCTCAGAAACCCTATGTTGGTGATATAACTTACTTGGGTGTCATATTCCTGAGCTGACTGCCGCCAGGAGTGATGTTGGCCGGCGTCGGCGTTTGTAGTAAAGGACTTGCGCTCCATTCCTGGAAATTAAAAAATATATGGTTTCAATTATAAAGAAGACTTTAAAAAATTAATTGTCACAGTATTTTTTTTATAATAGCTGTCACCCATGACTCCGTCCGCGCGGGCAAAAAAAAAACTAAATGAGTAGCCTGTGTGTTCTTCCAGACTATGTTCTACATCTGTCTTAAATTTCATCAAGATCTGTTGAGCTGTTCCGAAGATACCTTCAAACAGACATCCATACATACAGACATCTAAAAATTAGCATTTATAATATTAGTATGATATTAAAATCAAAGATATGTGTAAATTTCCGGGAGAAAAAGGCAACGCGGCCATCCGTTACATTCCGTCCAAAGGTGAAAACTGGATTGCCAAGGTTCATTTGGCCACGGCAACAGGACATCCATGGTCTCTGTCTACTCCTCTAGGTTATGGGCGTTGTGTTAGCTTCTATGACATTTGTTTATAAAGTTAACAAGTTAATTATTACCTTTCCATATGTCCTCAGTGGTGTAGAATCGAAGTGTGAGAAGGAGACTGCAGCTGGAGAGTTGAGGAACTGCGAGGGGCTGAATGGCAGCGCTTTGATCGGAGTCGCGCCTGAATCCTTCGGCTCTAGTGCTTTGGCGATCGCTTCTGACCACGTCTGGAATTATATGAACGAATATGTGAATTTAATTCGGCTATATCTAGCTTTCTACGATCTAGAATGTAAATTAGCTTAGTATGGGAAAACATAAAATAAAATTTCTCGAACCATCTTTTTATAATTATTGTTTTATTGTCTAATTAAAACTAGAATACATTAAAAAATATGTCCGTATAGTTGTCGCCCGCGACTCCCTCCGGGCGGATATTGATTATTTATCTTATTAATAGCCTATTCAATTTCATCAAGATTCATGCAGCCGTTCCGGAGGTACCTTTTAACAAACATACATCCACTTCCAAACATTCACATTTATAATATTAGTAAGAAGAAATACTATTATTTTGAACAAAAAAAAAATCTAGATAAGGGATACAATACGTGGACTAACATTGGAGGTGTGCGCGGGCAGAGGTTTCTTCCCCTTGGCTCGGCGCAGTATGGGCGGCGGACTGATCGACTCCATGCTCTTCTTGGGAGATATGTACACTGATGGTACCACTATCTCCTTGTTCGTCTCCGTCTGCAGCGCGTAGCTTGCTGGAAATTTATTATATTTATATTACTTTTTTTATACTAATAAGTGACAAATAAGCGAACACCGGGATTCCATAATCTGCAATTTTAATAGACGGAGGAGGGGACATACAGAAAGAGTTTATTTCGTCTTCCAATGTGTCTCATTTTCCGTCCTAGCTAATACCTCTTGCAATTTCCTTAGAAGAAATGGATAGGAAGAGAAAAAAGACTAAACTTAGTCTTAGTGTTTATATTTATGTAGTACAGTGTAACTTGGATAAGTAAAAACCTTCTATAAGCTAGATTGTCCGCTTATCTTAACCTTCACATCCGTTAATTTGCCATAAAAGAGCTTTTTTTACAACTCTTTTATAAATCTATAGGAAAGAAAAATAATTTGAATTTTGTTCCACTTTACAAAAATCTTTTTGCTAATATTCTGACTGAGAAGTAAAACATCGTGATGCTGCACATATGTGTCAAAGTCAAAGATATGTGTGCAATCACCCCGCACTGGGCCAGCGTTGACTTAGTCAGTGACTTAGGGTATCCGAGTACCTCAGTGTGGATGTACAGCTGATGATAAGATTACTTACTTGAACTTGCATTATTCATAGTTTGATTATCTGTAGTCGTGGTTTGTGATAGATAGTTCTTGATCGGTGAGTCTGGTAGTGAACCGATATTTACATATCTGAAATAAAAATAAAATATTTAAAATATCTTTATAAATCTTAGTTGCTGACACCAGAATCTCTATATCATCATCCTTATCTTTCATCTTTTACATAACAAAGATATCAATATGTTTTAAACGGGAATCATATACTTGGACACCCAAGGTTAGTCATCTTACTAATATCATCAATATGAATGTTTAGATGGATGGATGTTTGTTTGAAGTTATCTCCGGAACAACTCAAGAAAACTCGCTGAAATTTGACATAGATGTAGAACATAGTCTGGAAGAATACTTTAATATACTAACTTGAAAGGTGACTCAACAATCTCTACAGTATCAACAGCCACCAGGTTCCCCCTGTCAGGAGACTTGTGCGTCTTCTGCAAACTGCTGAGCTGCTCCTTCAGCAGTTGTCTGAAATGCTGCACCTGCTTAGACGGAGCACTCGATGATGTATTACTTTGTATTGATTCATTGAATGGGTCCGTCCAACTCTGAAATTTATAAAAATAATATTAAACATTTTTTGTATAATATGTATCAGTGTTCTAATAGATTTAGGTTTTTTTGAGATAATAAGGATTTGAATTAAGTGGTGTATTAAGTAGCCTTTGTGTTCTTCCAGATGTGTTACATCTACGCCAAATTTCAACAAGATCCATGCAGCTTATGTAATGTAACATAGCTTGCCAATAGCAAGATATATACAGTAAAAGTGATAAATATAACTACATGTTTGGAGTGTACAAGTGAACCCACAGTACCCCAATTTTGTCATATTCCCGGCATTTTTGACAAAGATTAGTGAAATTGTTTAAACAAATTAAAATAAACATAGAGATAATGTTAGATCTGATATGAATTATAATTGTTAATATTAATAGAAAAAAATATATATTAATACTAGCTGTTGCCTGTGACTACATCCGTGCAGAATTAGAGAAACTTTATAAGTAAACTATGGGTTCTTCCAGATTATGTTCTACATCTGTGTCAAATTTCATCAAAATCCATGCAGCCATTCTGGAGATACTTTCTAACAAATATTCATTCATCATTCAGTAATCATTATGATGTAAGATTTAATTGAAAAATTTCCTTGTTTGTTTGTTGCATAGAATGGACTCCGAAACGGAACCGATCGAAAAATACTTTTACACTTGGGAAGCTGCATATTAGAATCTTCTTATAATATAAATTCAAAGGTTCGGATGTATGGATGTATGGATTGATGGATGTCAAAAGAGTTGCATGGATCTCACTGAAATTTGGCATAGATGTAGAACAGTCTGGAAGAACACATAGGCAACTGAATAAGTAATTCTTAGTGGTATGGAGTTTGAAGTTTAGATAGAAATGTTAAAATTCATATCAGCTGATAAAAAAAGCTATAGAAAAACTAACATCGTTATATACAATTTGTACAGAGGAGGTGTCAGCGCTAGTGTCACTGGCGCGGCTCTTTACCCGCGCTTGCTTACGCCGAATGTTCTCGAAGCTGTCCAATATGTCCGGCTCATACTTCCTTCTCATTGTTGAATTCCAGTGGTTCTTTATCGCGTTGTCTGTCCTGGAAACAAATATAAGCAAACATTTACATTGTAAACTAGAACATGTAATAGAGAGCTAGCTCTTAGAGACACAAAGAACTGGGAAGATTTTTATATAATACAATCAAAACAGAGTAAGCAAGTCATTACCTGGTCCGGACGGATTGCCTTCATAGGTAAGAAACTCTGGTCAAAGAGAAAACTCTACTAGAGAAAAATTAAGTAATCCCTTTAACTCTTGCCTATCCAAGCTTGATTGTATTTAAGTTAAGTATTAAGTTTATAATATTAATATGTTTTATTGCAATTATTTTTTAAGGTTTTTAAAGTTTCCTCGTGGAAACCATTCAAAATCTTATTAGAATCTGTGAACCTCCTCCTACATATATTCATCTTGTAAACCGTCAACGGGGAGATAACCCCCCATCGTATACCCCCACCAGGACTTCTGTTTACCCCAGTGGTACTATTTAAGAAATACATTAGCACTCTTACCGTTGGTTTCTAAGACCAACACTTCTGTATAAACATCGTCATCCAATTTTAAACGAGTATTTGGGTTTCAGAAACCCTCAGAATGCAACTAAAATCATAGTTCTCACCTGCCCGGCAGTAACTTAGCGATCTTAGCCCACTGATTGCCGAGTTGTTTGTGCGCTTGATATATAACTCTGTCTTCATGATCTGTCCATGCAGTTTTCTTTATTGATGGGTTTAGGTGATTGTGCCAGCGTTCTCTGGAAATTAAAAAGGTAACGTTTTATTCATCGTACAACTACAAATTAATATTAAAAACCTTAAAATTATAACAATGATTACTAATATATAAGCTGGCTGAGCTTTGTGGCTCAGGGGTTAAGCACTTGACTTGTTAAATGCAAGTCCTGGGTTCGAATCCCGTCCATGTGCCAATGTGTTTATCGATTTTCGATTTACATATGTACATTTATTTGACGTTCTTACGGCGAAGGAAAACAACGTGATGCTGCATATATCCTGTGAAGATATTCCAAGATATGCGTGAACCAGCACTTGACCAGCGTTGACTATGGCCTAATCAAAACATAAGACTCCAAGCCCTTCAGTAGGTACGTGAGCTTAAGATCAAAGAAAAATGTTCAACTAACCTGCATTGTTTTCCTATCCTTCCTTTTAAATGCCGTGCTATAAGCGTCCATTTCTTCGGTCCGTATTTGGCGACGAGTTCCATGACTTTTTCGTCTTCCTGTAAATAAAATAAACATAAAGATAATTCGGAATCCAGGATACAAATTGTAAGTTTTGTTGATTGAATCTTCTAATCGTTGATTTTTTTTCTTCAAAGTGTCTATTAAAATTTTCCAAGCATCATTCATCCGCAACTTCATAATCGATTTAATATCGATTGAATACAATAAAAAATTAAATAAAAGAATCGCCGATTGAGGCGTGCGAAAATACGTTACATCGCAAGGTGAGCAAGTTTGTGTGGGTGGAAAAAAATCCACGATCAGCTGACTATGAAATGTCCAACATTTAATGTATAAGACTTATTATTATTTGATAGCTGTAGACCGCGACTCCGTCCGCGAAATATAAAAAAACTTATCGAGTAGCTTATGTGTTCCTCCACACTATGTTTTAGAAATAAGCCGTTCGGGTAATACCTTCAAACAAACATCCTTCTATACAAATTTTCGCATTTATAATAATAATAAATTATAATAATAGTAAGATTGTACTACAATCTCACTAATTTTACTTTTTATCTTACTAATATTATAAATGCGAATGTTTGTATAGATGGATGTTTGTTTGAAGGTATCTCCAGAACGGCTGAACGGATCTAGCTCGATGTAGAACGCGGTCTGGAAGAACATATAGGTTACCAATGAAGTTTTTTTTAACACCGCGCGGACGGAGTCGCGAGCGTCAGCTAGTATGTGATAAATACGTATTTAAACTAAATATTCTGGTGATTTATTAATCAAATCTTTACTTTCTCTCAAAGTTGCGTCAGCGTGTTTACATTATTCTAATTTAAGAAGGAATTGAACCTAAATAATGGTATCCATTTCTCATTACGTGCATAATTATAAGATGTTTTTTTGCAGTTTTCTTTGTCAAAATTTAAAAATATTTTTCTAAACATAATAGACAAACAGATATATACAAATGTAGAGACAAAAAACCCAATATCCGTAGAATGATGTCACCAAAATCAAACTGCATTCCACGGTCACGGACGTGAGAACGCGTAGGTTTTACACGTGGTTACACTGAAACCACTGCCGAAACATCTACATGAAATCATATTGTTATCTCTATAATTTTCAAAGTAAATGAAAGGGACGACGATATTGTTGATACTTACGGTTATAAAATAAATTAGCATATGCTACATTTGTGTTAACCATTGATAATTCAAACGGATCGTAAATCTTTATTGCTATTTTATGACACGTATTGTAGTGTTATTTATTCTACAGTGCGAATAAATGACACATTTTTACAGAAAGGAAAACCAATAAATCCTTTGAAACGTTCCCAGCTTAAAGATGAGTAGATGTTCTGCTTTTTTACGGATGGAACTATTCGTTTTTATGACATCTTTTTAGATGGAATTGTCTTACATATAAAGATTTTTACATTCAAATGCCTCTGCAAATTTGCACTACGTTTCCTACTAACCTAGTCAAATTCCATAACCAACGTGAACAGATTTGAATTTTATAAAGATACTAGTATATTTTCTTAAGCTACAAGGAGAATAATGGCAGGCGATATATTCAAAGATTATGCAAATAGCGTAATAAATAAACGCGATTTAATCAGCTGTTGTGACGTCATCTGGATTCAAGGACGACAGAGTATCCATCCAAGGCTGACACAATGCTCTGATATAAATAGTTGTAAGGATAAGGGCTGGCAATGTTGTCTAACCGTGCGTTACCACTACCGAAACATGTATTTAAAATATCTCAAGTTTTTTAAACTGGGATGACAAGAAGCATCAATAGCCTAATGGTTAAGGGTACGGATTCCCAATCAGGAGGTCGGGGGTTCTCGAATCCCGCCATTCGACTATTATCGTAAACATATCCTAGCACAAGCCTAGAGCTTAGTTGGATTGGTAAAGAAATATTAGTAAATTTACGAAAAAATCTGCTAATATTTTTAGATCTAGATTAGATCTAGATTTCAAAGTTTTTAAAAACAATGAATTTCAAAATTGTATATAAAATATCTTTTTGTTTTTACTAAACATTTTATAATAAATTATTTATCGATAATTTTAACAATTGAACAATTGCACGTTTCTTTAAAATTTCAACAAGTTCATATTCTAAAAAAGGTTGCTAACCCTAACACGATGTTAACTTTACATTTCCAACACGTAACGACCAACAATGGATTCATTCATAAAATCTGAGAAGACTTATAGTTATTTGTTAGGATGTGTCGTGTGTTGTTTTTAAAAATAAAACGCATGAATGGGATGAGATGAATTTAGTATTTTAGCTCATATTAGCATACTGTAGATAGAAATAGGAAACGAAGGTTTAAAGGAAAAACTAACAATAATAATAAGCTAAGATACAACGAGTAAGTCCACTCACAGTAGGTTTCCGAGATCAAATCTTTGTTAAAAATATAATTTCTGTTTCGTCAAAGATGACAGGGCTAACGATATGTCTTATAAATTGATTTTGGTCTCAGAAACCCACGGCTAGTGTGCATAATGAATGGGCGTGCATTACGTATGCACTAGTGTTAATAACCTCTGACTCATCGGATAGACGGATGTGAATTGCTAATTTTGTACCTAACGCCCTTTGGCGAAGAAAACGTAACTCTTTGAAACCAGGTGATTATAGCCCGAAATATTGTAGGTTCGTACACAGCGACAGCGTGTTACCGTCAAAGACAATCGCTCGCCTGTTTGTCAAGATCGTAATAAGAAAAGTCGCTGCAATTTTCAAATTGGAGGAGCAAATCTGTACTATTGACGTGTAGTCGCTATGCCTGGACTGATAGACGACTCGTGTTGACGAATCAACGTTGTGTACGAAACTCACGCAACGTGATTCTCGCGATGAAAACACACAATATTAGTTTCGACGATTTACGTTACCTTGTGTATAAAGGGCCTTAATAATCGTCAACGAACTATGCATTTTTTATAAGATGACTGTAACATATCGCCGTTTCTGTTTTGTCAAAGAGAATGTAAGGGATAACAATATCTATTAATTAGTCTGGTTTTACCCAACTGATAGTAATGTTTTACGCAAGTCTCTCTCTTACTCCCTGCAAAACCTGAGACGAAAATATTTCTTACAGGTTCGTAAATGGAATTTCACATGTTTGACATAAATTGCTAATTCGCTGGTATGTTGATTCCAACGTGCTATTATTAGCTTTATTCGCTTGATAAGACTAAGAGCTAGTTCATTTTATAGACTTGAGTCATTTACTTATGAACGGATGATTTGGTTAAATCGTTGACACGAATATTTAAGCCAGAAAAAACAAGAGACTACCGCACTTAGTCCATTAGATTTCTCAATATAGATCTTCTTTAAGGAGGTCACTTGCTGCCTAATTTATAACTAAGCATGACTGTTTATCTGCCCATTTAAATGTTTCTAAGTTTATCTATCTTAGTAGTTAGTCTATCTTACTTGCGTAGTTTGTGCCTAAGATTTTATTATATATTTTTAAAACTATGTAATAAATATATAATATATTATTATACATTTTTTATTTGGATTTTAAAAAATCCAAAAATTTTTGTAATTTGTTTTACTTTTGACACTAAATCCCGCGTGCCACAGTTAAAGTCCTCCTTCTAACTACGGGAAGATCCCTAGTGAAAATGCAAACACAATTCGGATGTCAACGCCCTATTCTGTTTGTACGCTAAGGTAATGCACCGTTATCATTTAGCGGCGAGATCATAAGCGTGTGAACATTACGTAACTCTACAAGACTGAATTACGAAATATTAGTTTCACACGAGGACTGAACAGTGACACAGAGCAGAACATGGAGTACGACAATGGTTTTAAGTTTAAACGTACAATTCCTAGATTACTGTTTTGAACTGTGTATTTACGCAATACGAGTACAAAAGTAGGGTATTCAAATTATTAAGTGATCGTTTAAACGAATATTAAGGCATTTTGGAATCATTTGATTCGTTTTATCTTACTAATATTATAAATGCGAATATTTATATGGATGGATGTTTATTTGAAAATATCTCCAGAACGGCTGCATGGATCTCGCTGAAATTTGGCATAGATGTAGAACATAACCTTGAAGAACACATAGGATACTAAATAGTTTTTTTTTATTTCGTGCAGACGGAGTCACGGGTAACAGGTAGTAGTGTTAAAGTAGACTTTTTTAAATTAATTAAAAATTACTTTGAATAATATAGTATTAACATTTCCAATAAAATATCCTATCACTTTAAATTCTTACTCAGTAACTTTCTATTTATATCACTAATGATGTTCGAACATCGATATAATAATTCTCAGAACCGGGATTCAAATCAAACATCGTAAGAACCTGTTTCTTAGCTATATGAACCATAGATGCTGTTGAAATGCATCCCGTACAAACCTGTAGAATTTTAAAGTAACTTTCTCTTTTGTAACTTTAATCTGTAGGATCTATTCTACTTGCTATACAAATCTCAGCTTGGGTATGACAGGTTTTGCTTATTTTTAAAACGGCAGTTGAAGTTATAGTTAGCTAATTCTATCTGTATTATTAGGTGTTCAGTATTCAACACCATGGCAACCGCTACAATCAACGAAAATATCATGAGAAATCAAATAGGCACAAAATAACACGCATATAGCCTGTCCAGTTGATATATGTATGACAACAATGATTTTAAATTTGGTGCATGTAACAACTTATAAAGGTCAAATAATTATACCTCCTTGGTCCATGGCCCCTTGACTAGTTCTGGATTGACGACTTTCGTCCACCTCTGCTGGCATTGCACGTCGGAGCGGTCAGGGAACTGGGCAGCAATGAGCTCCCAATTCTCACTGTACATCTTTACATATGTTTTGAGCCTTTTATCCTGGAAATAAGACATTCATTTTTTAGAATAAATATTTCGAAACGAACCACTATACTATAAACTATAAGATATTTTAGTTGTAGAGACAAAGGAGGTATATAAAATAATTAGTCACCTCCTCCTTGGTCCATCGACCTCTGTTGATATTCTTCCTCTGCCCAGTGCCTTTGGTTGTAGCCGGCGCATCGTCGTACGCCGTCGAGTCCTCAGAGTACTCGCTCGTGTCTGACTCATAGCCGCTACGTCTGTAAACAACAAAAATACATTATATATCTATATTACCAACATGTTGAATGACTCCATACATTCTTCTTAAAAGATTTTAGAGGCCTAATTTAGTCCTCTTTTCCTTCCCTTTTTCTTAAAAGGAAAGGATGGGAAGTGGAAGTGGAATTTCCGGATGAGAGGATGCATGGAAATGTTTTCTTTCTGTGCATCCTCTCCTCCGTCGATTAAAGGTAGGCAACGCATGTGCAATTGTGTATGTCCACGGGCAACGGTCACTTCGCTATTTCAGCGATTTCAGGTGGCCGCTCGCTCGCTCGCAGCGGGCCTACCTAGTCTACTGCTAGCTGGTGGATTAAAGCGTATGAAAGGTGTTTCAGTTCACCCCATATCTTTACTGACTGGCTTCTGATGCGCAATGTCATAAAGTTTGGAATGCATTATACCTTAGGATAAGCGTCTATTAATCTGTTATTTTCCTTCCAATGAATAACAATTTTGATTTTTTTACATAAATGGAATAAAGACAAGAATGTTGTCTGTATGTTAATTAACAAATAAATGCATAACATTTAAAGTTGTACAGATAAAAACAAGAGAGACCTGTCCTTATCAAAAATCTGGCCATGTTAATGACTTTATCTTGTTACTAAAATGCAACCATGGACCACCAACGAAAATGTTTTATGTTAATAAATTCCATATTAAAAATAAAAAGTTAATAATTAATAGACGCATTATAAATTAGTATATTATTATTAGAAAAACAAATATTAAATCAACAAGACAACTTTACCGAATTTAAAAAGGGGACCAAAGCAATTAATCGTGAATGTTTTTTTTTATAGAATATACTAACCTTATATTTTATTCTACAAAATTACAAGCCCTTTTCAATACTTTTTACCCTAAATACCTGGTGCCTTCAAACGCGAGCTTTTTGAAATGCTTGCGTTTTACGCGAGCTTGAAAGCGCCCAGTGTACACTTAGGGTTAAAGGACCAAAGTCAGCATTCTTCGAAGGTTAAAGCCAACAATACCAATCAACAATTTGTAAGAACGAAAGCAAAAAAAAAATGGCGCCAATCATTCTTCAATTTGTAGACGTATTCAAGACTTCCAAGAACTATGACGTTTTAAGCTATCCCTTAAGATGACAAACATAATGAAATTCATACTTTATACATGTGAGTTTAGTGTTCAAAATGGTACGATTATACGTGGAACCGGTTTAATACTGTAGCCGGTACCGGTTTTGAGAACCAATAATAATCCGATCGCCGGAGAGACGGTGAGGTAAGAATAGAAATAAGAATGTTTTAAAGGTAATTCATGCAAACAGGCGGACGTATCAGCTGATTTGAAACCAGTTCGCAAACTCATTCATTGGTAATTTCGAACGTCTTAAGATACATCTATATTCATTATTATCTCGTCAAGATATAATTGAATTTTACTAATGTCATTAATGCGAATTTATGTAGATAGATGTATGTTAGAAGGTATCTCTTGAAGGACTGCATGGATCTCAATGAAATTTGGCATAGATGTAGAACATCTGGGAAAACACAGACTACTAATTAGGTTTTTTTTAATTCCATTATTATATCATAAGATTACTTACACATATAACATCACGTCAGTTTAAACTAACAAGAAACTCCAACAACAACAAGCCATATTCACAATAACAAAACAAATAACAACATTATATTTAAAACAAAACAATTGCACTAACACTTCATGATTTCGCGCCAAAAGTTTTCAAGTTACAACATGTCTACGTAAGGGACTCGAACATTGTAAGGGTTCAAAACACACTGACAGAAAAATTTGATCTCACTACCCACACTTATAAAAAAAGGGTGGTAGTTTGGAATATCGATATTCATATCGATATTTGAAGTACACATCGATATTTTATTATTATAAACTGATGAAAAAACGACAGTAAGCTTTAAATTATTTCCCAAAAAATATCTTTGCAATAAAAGTAAGCCACATGTAAAATGTTTTATTTTATTTACAAATTAACTTATTTACCAATGATTTAATAAGTACATAGGTATCTCGAATAGGTTGAAGTCAATAATCGAAATTAGTGAAAATTTAGTGCAACAACAACATCGATACAAATATCGATATTATTTGCACATCCTGCATCACTAGAACACACACCTACACGAAATGCACACACATGGCGCATAAGGGTGAAGAATACAAAAACTTTAAGGGACTATAGTTATACTGTAGAAAAGGACAAACAACAAAAAAGACTAAGGGGTAAAAGAGACAAAAGTCTACCCTCCAGTGGGAATGTGACGCAAGCTTAGGTAGGCAGGTGTAAATAACATGGGAAAGGAACAAAGAAAATTGATTTCATACTTTTTACGTTCAAGTTACTTTTTGATTTAGACGAAAGTGTGTGACAGAGTAACTATACATTATCATGATCTAATTATTTGAAAATACCAATTAAATATTAAAATTATTTTTTTATTGGATCACTTGATAAAATAATGAAGAGCTATTTAACATCACATAAGACACTTCGTACGAAATACTAACAAATATTTAGTAGACATCGCAAATTTTCCAAAATAAAAAACATAAGTTTGAAGATTTTTTTTGCAATTAAAATTTATGAAATCATTGCTTTAAAACGCTTATTTAAAGAGACAATATTTATTTAGGCTAATTTCATTTAGATAACTAAGCTAATATTATTTTAAAACAAGCAGATAGATAAATATTTATTTAGTTTACTCATGTGTAAAATGAAAAGTACATCAATTAAACAATTTAAAATTTTATTTATTAGTGAATGACAAAGTACGAAAATGTTTTGGATCTCTGTTTATATCATCGGAACGGTACTTTGAATGGCAAACAAAAAATACATACAAGGGCCAAATAGCGGACCACGAAATATTTTCAGACCCTAGAGAGCATTCGTTTTTGCATACCAACAAGAGAGGTTACATATGGTTCACGTCAGGAAATTGCGATCATTAGATATTTTAATGTTTGTCAGCTGTAATCTAACAGTTTGTTCCCCTTCGGTTTTGTCTACCTTCACCGTAAACAGTTTTACTAATATTATAAATGCGAATGTTTAGATGGATGGACGTTTGTTATTAGGTATCTCCAGAACGGCGAAACGAATCGCGCTGACATTTGACAAACACAAGGCAAATTAAAAGAACACAGGCGTCTAGTTAAGTTTTTTTAGGGTGACAGCTACTAGCCTATAACTGTGACTTTAATATTTGACTAAAATATTAGTTCAAACGCAGAACTTTACTATAATATTATTTAGAGAGAATTCTGATATTCCTCATTTAAGCCAAGACATTACCAACTGTCGTTACCTTAAATTAGCACTTAACGTCTGTGAGTGTGTTTTTAATATGTTATTTCATGTATCTTGCACTGTACAATTTCCTGCGCAGATAAGAGTTTTGTGAAATGTTAAAGGGCAATGTCAGATATCGATATTAAACTAATGATAAGAGAGATTTCACATAGCACTTACGTAATATATTTGATATCATGCAGATTTTTAGATTATAAAATATTTTTTTAAATTGTATAAAAATCTAGTAATAAATATAGCCTATAGCACCTGGGGATCGTGTAGCTTCCCAACAGTGAAATAATTATTCAACCGGTTCATTAGTTTCGAAGCCTATTCAATGCAAACAAACACTCGGATGTCGCCTCGACTCCGCGCGAAATAAAAAAAAACATAATTAGCCTATGTGTTCTTCAAGACTATCTTCTGGCAAATTTCATCGAGATCCGTTCAGACGTTCTGGAAATACCCTCAAACAAATATCCATCCATTCATCCATCTAAACATTCGCATTTACATAAGTAGGACGTGATACTATATATTCACATGCATCTATACTAATAGTGAAGAATTTTTCTATCTTGGTTTGAAGCTGACAACATTTAACTTTATCCAAATTAAACATATTCAAATACACATTTTTTTTAATATAGACATCACCTCGTGGCAACAGTTTCGTATAATTCAGTTTGAACACATTTTTGAACATGTAATTGTTCATAAATTTATAGACGCAGTTGGCGTTCTAATTAATAAAAGGATAGAGGAAGGGCCATTTCCACCTGTCGTCAAACTGCCCTTTTACTATTCAGATTTCAAGTTAAGATTGTTTAAAAAACGGATGTAAGAACACTTGATAATTTACGCATCGTTTGAAACACAAGGAAGCCCGATTTGCGTATTTCCTTAATTCAAAATTATATTTTGTTAAAGTTGCAGAATGTTGTGTAATTTTGCAAATAAATAGAGAAATTAAAGTTTTTATTTATGGTTTTTAAGTCTTACTTTTACGATACATTAATAAATGCGAAAGTTTTGATGAATGGATGGATGGATTCAAACAAATGGAGGCATCTCCAGAACGGCTTAACAGATCTTTACGTTTGGCACAAATGTAGAACATAGTGTAGAAAAACACATGGGCTACTTATTGTGTATTTTTAAAGTTCAGCGAGAACGGGCGACAGCTAGTCACTTATTTTTTAGTATTTTAAAGAAAAGCACATCAAGACTGTAATCATACTTTCGGACTTAGAACGCCCTATAAATAGTTGTCAACTTGAGTTTCCACTGCCTGACAAGCATGCGGAAACATATCATCTGACGGATACGATAGAAGCTTTAGCAAATGTTCATTATCTTCCCTTCAAATCTGAATGTGATCGGATTTAATATTCATAGTTTCGTTTATGTATTTGGTGTATAGTAGAAAGCGTCTCATGTCAACAATAAGGTCAATACGTGGGGCCCACAGGAAGCACGGAGGATGCCCGGACTAACTGGACACTTCCTTAAGACGCCCCTAACTTCTTGTGTCGTGTTTTGTTATAAGGAAATTGTCATTTCACTCCCCTTGCTAAACAATTAACCCCGCAAATCGGAATCTTACAAGTTGGATGTTTTTATAGAATTAATGTCGTGACCGGCCTACCATGTCTTAAACTG